GAAAAAGGCAGGAAGTTCTTTAGTGGACACTCTCCCTCCCTGCAGCTTTCCGTGGTGACAAACCCAGCCAGACCCCGCCGGCACCCGCACTCTGGCATCTGGGCACGTGTTCAATAACTGATAAAGGTGGAGAAACTGAGGCAGAGCAAGAGGGCTCTAGGTGGAGGTCCCCAAAGGTAGATTCAGGCAAGCAAGCATCTCTAATCCACCTCACTGCAGAACTTAATGTTAAAAAAAAAAACCTGAAGGTACTTGGGCAGGTGAAGGATGGAGAAGCTAATATGGACGCTCCAGAAGGGGAAGAGAGCTCTGACCTTGGGGTTTTCTCTAGACTTTGAATAGGTCTGAGCAGGACACTAGGAGCTTTGAGTCAGGGCAGGAGAGGTGACTTTTCTCAGAGGAGGTTGGAGCTAACAGACTCTTCCAGGGAGAGTGGGGAAAAGGAAGAACTTCCTGGCCTCAGAAGGCAGTGAGCCCAGGGAGGGAGGGGGAGCTGGTGTTCCAGCCTTTTCCACCCACCCTTCTGTAAAAGCCACAGAATCCTTCTAAAGCCACCAAGGAGGGAGAGACATTCTCTACCTCTGTCCCTAACTGGGAGAGGAGGTATGCCTAACCCCTCCCTCAAAGGTTAGGGCCATCCGGGAATTACATCTACACCGTTATGTTTTCGTGAGTGCCAGGAAGTGGTTAGAGCTGAGTGGGGAGACTTTTGTCTGAGTTCTAAGTTCTCCTGTGTGACCTAGGATGAGTTTCTTTTCTTCTCTGTGCTTTGAGTCCCTGACTCCCCTCCGGGCTTCGTGCTCCTTACCGGGAGGGATCCGTTCTACCCCGGAGTTCACAGGGCTATGACCGGGACGGATACATTGCTGAGAACCATCAGCCCCAGGTGGCCCCAGAGCCACCTTCCCCCACCCTCAACCCCCACCCCTCCCAGGCCCAGTCAGACATTCAGAGCCTGCCTCAGGCAGCCTAGCCCCTTCTGCAGCCCCGTCTGACCTCAGTCCCAAAGCGGGCAGCTCCTCTCCTGCCAGGCCAGGCTGCTCACGTTCACATCCGGCTTTTTCACGTACTACCTGGGTAACCTAGGGCAAGTTAACCTCTCCGAGCCTCGGTTTCCCCATTTATAAAATGAGAATAGTGATTGCTTCTACCTCACGGCTATTGTGAAGATTAACTGAGTGGATACATATCAAGTTCTTAGAACAATGCCTGGCATACAGAAAGTACCCGGTAAATGTTAGTTACTTACACCCCATCTGCAAGCTAACTTGCCTCTTCCAAGAAGCCCTCCCAGGTTGGACTCACCTGGCTTTGTTTTCTCATCTTCAGAGGTCAGCTTGCCCATTATACTTGGCACTGGTGACCATGAGCCTGTTGCTTTCTTCTTCTTCTTTTTTAAGTTTATTGTTATTATTATTTATTTTATTTGTTTAGTAATCTTTGCAACCAACATGGGGCTCGAACTCACAACCCTGAGACGGAGAGTTGCTCACACGCTCTTCCGACAGAGCCAGCCAGGCGCCCTGACTGTAGCTTTATTCTTCGCTTGATGGAGTTCGGCCAGGCTGACCTAACCTCGGCTCTTGGCTTGCCCAGGAAGGGTAGGAAGAGAGGGCACCGAAGCCTCCCCTGGCCCTCCTCCCACCCCACAGTCTGTGGGACTTGCAGCCACTGCCATTTCCAGCTGGGACCTGGAGCCACCTCGAGCCTGGGCCGGGCTGGGGAGGGGTGGGGGAGGCGGGCTCACAGGGGGAGTGGCACCGGGGCCGCCTGGAGCAGCCGGAGCACAGAAGTTGCTCCTCCAGGAGCCGAGAGATGATTCAGAAGGTGATTTATAGACGGAAGGCAGAAAGCCTGGCTCCTGGCCGAAGCGGCTGCTTAATTACATTCTTCGGTTTGGGGGGGTGGGGGGGTGGGGGGACGAGCGGGGCGGCAGCAGAGGATGGACTTTTACCCCCTCCCCCTCCAGGCCTTGTCCCCATAGCTGCCCCAGGTCCAAGCAGTGTCCCCTCTTTTTCCTGCCCCCAGAGAAGGAATTCCCTATTGTCGACGCAAGCCTAGGCCAGGAGCGCAGGAAGAACTTCTGGGGCTGGAGGAGGGGGAGGAAAAGGGAGGAGGCCAGAGTCCCATCGCCTGGGACTCCTCCAGGGGAGTGTGGCCTTACAGAGGGGGCTGGGAAAGAGGGCCGCCCTGGGGAGGGTCACTTCCTCTCTCCCCTGCTTCTGGGCAGGTGAACAGCTAACCCAGCCGAAGGCAAAGGGTTTCTAGAATCTTCCTGAAGGTACCGACCCCACACTTTCCCGCAGGTGCCCTATCCTACTGCTGCTTCTGGATCCTTCCTTCAAGTATGTTCCTTTTAGGTTGTTCAGTTTTTCAGCGAGCTGTGGGCTGGGGACTAGGGACCAGGGTTGATGCTGAGCGGTTGAAACCCAGTTCTCGCGTGCCCGACGACCTGTGTCGTGTGGGCACAATGTCTGCCTCAGGTCCAGAGGGTTCTCCGGGCAGGGTCAGCTTTGTATCAGAGGGAGAGGAACTTTGCTATCCTCATATTAAACCAACGTATCAGGGCCACCACACTTCTCCTGCTGAAGCGAAAATTACTTCTGCACTGTTGACAAGCAATCCCCCCCTTCTGCTGAGTTACTTGCCGTGGTGACATCTGGATTCCCTCTATGAACGCTGACCCGTGTGGCAGCCTGACATCTCTCTGCTACTTCTTGGTTCCCGTGCAGTCTCATCGTGGCTCTGAACCCCCAAGCCCCACCTCTAGTTCTGGAGGCTAGAAAGGTGTGTCGGGGGCAGGGTGGGAGGGTAGCCCAGACCGATAGAGTCTATTTATCTGTTTTGCAGCTCGGCACGTACAGCCGGGAGGAGTTGGCAGGGGTCAGGATGGGGACACTAGACAGCTCTCTGGTTCCCCCTGAGGCGGGCCTTCTCAAAATGGCCTCATTATGTGTGTGGAGTGAATTCCAGAAATGTCAGGCACACCCATACATCTAGGGCAAGGATGGAGACCCAGAAGCATGCTGGAGGACAAGAGGGGACAGTGTGGGACGGCGGGAGGTTTCCGGCGCCGTGAGTTAGGGGTCCCGAGACCTGGCTCTGCCATTCGTTGTGGTCTGACATTAGGCCAGTCCCTTCACTGTTGTGGACCTCAGGAAATAGGGCACTTGGGCAAGCTGTTGGCCTCGGACTTCCAGCTCTGAGATTTCAATCCCGGATTCTGATCACCCAGCGATTTGCATTAGCGAGCTGCCTGGAGGAGGGGGGGTTCGTCACCGAGAGTTGATCTCGGGGCAGGGTGGGGAGTAGTGAGCACAAAACTTTATACTCACCCAGCCGTGAGGTCACGGATGCGTCTCGAACCTTCCCAGGCCTCGGTTTTCTCATCTGCAAAGTGAGTGACGATAATAACGCGATCACTCGCCCCGCCTACCTGTAGGGCTGCCAAGAGCTTCGGAAGCAGTCGTCTTTACGAAGCCCTTTGAGAAGCGTCAGGTTCCTTCCAGAGAAGTTAGCATCATTGCCGGTCCTACCAGAGAAGAGGAGTAAGATGCGGCCCCTGGTCAGAGGGTGCTAAGCGCGAACCCAGCAGGACTGTCTGAGCCTGAGGAGTTGGTATTTTCCGCAGAGGAGGAAGAAAGGGGCTGGATACGGGCATCTCCGCTCCTTCCTGGGGGCTTCGTGAAGCTCAGTGAGGAGCCCCCCAGGGAGGGGCAGAGGTTGAGGCCAAGTGGCCGCAAGACATGCCCCGGTCCATAGCGTATAGTGCGGGACACGGGAGCCCTCCCCACCTAACGCGGAGACCAGAGGCCTGACCGGGGCTCGGCCGGGCACAGAGCAGGATTTCTAAGCAGCGACACGCAAGAGTGGGAGACGTGGGTGGAAGTGAGGTGGGGGTAAGAGTAGAGGGCTCTTCTGAGGCCTGTGGTCACCAGGTCATCGCCTGCATAAGGGCCGTTCACTCGAGCGAGGCTGGAAAGACCGGGGGCCGAGTGTGCTTGCCCGCGTGCCTGTGTGCGTGCGTACATGCGTGTTGGGGGTGGTAAGGACCAAGCACCCAGTCTGTTGGGAGGGCTGTTGGGTGAAACCTGCCCCTGGGCGAGGAGTCCCACTTATCTGACGGAGCCAGCCTGGCCAGCGAGAAAAACCAATCTCTCCTCTCTCTCCCCCTCTCTCCTCTCAGGGCCACTAGGAATGCAAATAGGGGTTTGTGGCAGTGCCAGTCAACTAGCCTCCTGCCTCCTGCCCAGCTCCTCGCCACGTAGCTTCCTAACTGGCATTTCTGAGGGCCTCTCCCCTGCTCTCACACCTCCTGTGGCTCCCCACTTCTCGTCTGGCACGGAGGCTCCCTAGGATTTGGCTTCTGCCCACCTACTCGGTAGTAGTTTCATAAGCCTCCTGGAGCACGCCCCCCTCCCCACCCCCCCCACCCCTGGCCAGGTCCTCTGTGCCTGTTCGAGGAAATACCTCGCCACCCCCAGCCTCCCTTCCCCACACTCAACGGCTGAAATTCCACTTTGTCTTCGACCCAGATCAAAACCCTCTTCCTTCGGGAAGCCCTTCTAGATTTCCAAAGCGATGTACTTCTAAGCGGGGGAAAATGCCATCACTCTCTGTCCCTACAAGCAGACGCGCCATACGTTCCCACTGCCTTCTGCCATGGGCTTTGGGTGTCTTATTTTCGTCCTACAGATGCCCCCCTCGAGGAAGAATCTGTGTTGTAGTCCCCTTGCAACTGCCCCCCACCAGTGCCCGGCATCTAATAGGGGTCAGTAAACAAAAACACGGCTCTGTGCCATGTGTGATGCGCTCTCTCAAGGCACAGGGACAAAAGGTGTTTCTGAGAGTGCCAGCTGCATCGTGCCTCGCGACGGTGTCACAAGCAGACTGAATGGGCCGAACGGATACAAACCCCACTTGCCGGTGTGACCTGAGGCTCAGAGCACCTGGCTTCTGCTGACTTTGAAAGGCAGCCGGTCCTGCTTCCCCTTGACCAGCGGTCAGCCTGTCCTGCTCCGCTCAGGTCCCCCTGGCCCAGGCCATGTGGCCGACAGCCCTGAACAGCGGGGTGGGAGCCCAGACCCAAGCAGGCTGCTGTCTGAGCCTTGTCCCTAGAGTCTCCGCTCCCCTGGGATTAGATTGTCCATCCCGGGTCCGTTTGGAAACTTTGTCCATCTGTGATCTCTCTCCCTCCACACCCCCCTCACCCTCACCAGCTCATGCTATACTTGGGAACCTAAATCTTTAGTTTTAAACTCCCATTCGGTGGGACGTGTTTCTCCCCCCCAGGATTAGGTGAGTGTTTGTTGGTGGTGTTTGTGTGCTGGTTCCCATACATACGTCATGGTCTTCTAGAAAAAAATCTCACCCCACTCTGCAGTTGGGGACTCTGGTCACGCAGCCTGTATTTGGAATCCACATCCGATCGGGCCCAAAGCTTTTTCTCTCTCCCACCGCTCAGGCTCAAAAGCTGACTTCTTATTTGGGGCAAGAATTTACCTATTCATGTTCTACCTTATTCCCCAAAGGATGGCTTTGAGGCCAGATTACATGTGACCTTCAAATGGCAAGCTGCTACTTTGGGTCTATTGATACTATTTCTGAAACTCTGGGAGGTCCCTTAGATGAGGATGTGTGCTAGTCACTGGCGAACCTTCCACAGGTCTTCAAGCTGGGCTAGCTGGGTGTGGGCATTAGAGGCCAGGCGACCGTTTTGTCACCCCTGGGATGGGCGCAGGGTGCTTGGGCAAATCCCTGCTTTCTGAGCCTTCGTTTTTCTCACCTGTGAAACAGAGTTCCAGCTCTAAGTTTCATCCTTCTGTTTAGTCCCTTCTGCCCCTTCGCGCCCGACCTTTGTCATACACATCCCAGAAAGCAATCGGACAGAACCTTCACGCCCAAACCAATTCTCGCGTTAGTGTGTCTGATTCAATTGATTTTTCACCCCATCTTCACAATTCAGTATTCAACTTTATTCCTTCCTGAGGACAAGCATGATCTCTCCTTTCAGATGAAGTATATTTCCCTTTATGTCCTGGCTGTTAGGTAACCCAGAGTCAAACTTGGAGTTCAATCCTTGACCCTGACTTGGCATATTTGTCTTCTTTACCTTGATCCTGATTTTCTGGTTTTAAGGTTATTATTTAATCCTGTGTGTTTTTTTTTTTTTTCAACATTTATTTATTTTTGGGACAGAGA